ATGTCCACTACCACAAACAAGGCGGAGAGTTCAAGTTACTAAAATGAGACGACTCCCAGCAATGGCATCTACTAGTTTACAATTTGTATGTTTTTTGTTAAATGCTGTAATAGGCATTTAAAGAAGGAGGTCTGCAGGGATTGACTTATTTTTTTGAGCCAGCCTCAAGCGGCTATTGTGGGAACTGCAGTTTATTGCACTTGGGCGTGAGCTTCATTTATCAGCCTTGTATTATGCTGCTTGATTATTACCCTAATCTGACCTTTATTTATGACTAAGTATGAAGGAGAATAAAGAGATGAATGATTGTACGTTGCTGCAGAGCTCTATTCTTTTTTTTTTTAATTGCAATAAATATTTTTTTCATGAATGTTTTATCCTTTGGACAAAGCTTTTTATGATTGAAGTTTTTGGAAACTGTTCAAATGACAATAGTTGGAGGCTAATCCATCCTCATAAATAAAACTTTCTTGATCTCTTTTTATTGTGTGTGAGTATACAAACTAAATCACCCCCAGGCCTCCCCTAAAATATTGTTTCTACAGAGGCAAAAGAAGCATATGCACTTCCTCAAATCTATCATTCCCAGTGTAGCATGCTTCAAAGACAACTTTCATGTGTCAACCCTGGGGCCTATTTTCTCTGTCCTGTTCAACCTCTAAGATCAGCTCAGAGGATATACGCTGACTTCTCATTATTCAGGCTCAAAGCCCTGGAACACTGTGTACCATCTTTTACCTCTGGACTCAGTGCGCTCATACTTGTCACAAAAAGTGTGTTTTTGCAAGTAGCTTCCTGAGCAAGCGGTAGTAGCCTCAGCGTCAGGAGATGAGACCATGCATTAAACATGCCATCTCTGTGTACCTTGTTCATTTTTAATGGTCCAGTTGGCCAGGGGTGTGGAAGATCGTCAACACAACCGGAATCTGAGGAGGGTGACAACCTAAGACATGGAGGAGGAAAATATCCAAACTTCAGGTGTTCTCATCAGGGACTTCAGCTTGAGCATGACATGCTGATATCTGTTTGAAAAAAATGAATATTTACAGTTCTTTTAGGGTGACTTGTGACTTTGAGTTGGTTGGATGCCTTAAAAAACTCATGCAATTCCATTAATACACATCAATGCAAGAATATTGACAAAAATGTATTGTGAGTTTAAAAAAAAAAAAAAATCACAACTAAAAACCAGGGGAGCAGCAACAACTCTTCTCAATTTAGCAAAATGCTTTTCAGAAGTGTCTTTCAGCTATTTGTTTTGGTCTAACAGGCACCCATATGTTGAAGTTTTCAAAAGTAGTACGAGAGACAGAGCATTCAATTCTCAAGCCCCTCCTGCATCATCTTCCAGTTTGTGTGCTGGAGGCAGACACTCTCTCGACCTTTTGATAAGCTTATAACTGAGGCTGGTTTTCTTGACTTGAGACTCAATCTCCAAAGTGGTTGAACAGACTTTACCACTCAGACATTTGCAACTTCTGTCTCCATTGTTTTGCAATTTGAACTGTGAAGGTATCCATTACCAAAACTGTAGCAATCCTGAGAATATACATGACTCCATTTGTAGATGCTATGAGGCTGCACTAATCATTTGCAGAACCTCCTGTACACTTGTCTACCTGTAGCATGTAACTGAACCCAATCTAGAACCAGGGTTTTAAACCTTAGGCCCCACGTTTTTGGTCAATTCACAACATATCCTCTTTAGTGTCGTAGCTACACTAAATTAAACAGGCTATAAGAGGAGAGGAGGCATAGAAGATCATCTTTTTTTTTGCATGTGTTTGATTCATTTTATTCATTTTGTTCAGCATGCAGCAGAAAGCTATATTTTCCTCTACCAGTACTTCCCTCTTCTTTTACCTGCCTCTATAATCAGGAGCTATTCTGAGCAAGAATTTTCCTCTAGATTTTTGCATTTTTGCTTTATTTCTTGCTGCCTGTTTGCCCCTTTTGCTGCGATCATCACCCATACTGCGAGTCTGTCCAGCAGCTGTGGCTCAGCTTCAAAAGATGCAGAGAAGTAAGTGTGAACATTATAGGAAGGGAGATGATTGTGCAACAAATCACACGTTTAATGAGCCATTTTACTTCATTTTTACCACAGGCGGGCATGATATGCTCATGGACCAGTCTCTTTGATGCTCTCTGTGAGGATTTGTTGCCCCGAACTACACACTTCAGCGTCTCGTCGTGATGTTGATGGATGTGGCGTGACAGAGGAGTGAAAGTGATTTTCTGAGGGAGAGACGGTTACTCAGTCTTACATTTTCTGCTTATCACTGGCGTTTGAGCCACAGAGAAGAATTTCCGAGGATTTTAACTTCCTCTGCTCTCTCATGACAGACAGACACGTGAAGAGCTTAGTTGTTGAGTAAAGGGAGCTTTCCTGAGCGGCACACTCTGCACTTTTATGAAATGTACAAGTAGCTTGTTGTACTGCCGGTTGCACACATTTCTGTCTCTCTCTCTACAAAGTGGAAAATCACATTTGATCCAATTTGATAACAGAACTGGGTCATGATTTGAGAAATGTTCCTCACACCACAGCAGGGACACGCACACACACGCACACACACACACACGCACACACGCACACACGCACACACACACACACACACACACACACACACACACACACACACACACTAGAACCGTCTTTGCCAGCTTAGTCCACGGCCTGCCAGCAGCTCCTCCGTTGCCAATTAATTTGATTTGGAGTTAATCACATTATTTATGGTCATTAAGAACAAGAAGTCCTCTCAGTCTCTTCACTGTCGACTAAAATGAAAGAACTCGGTGAAACTCTGTGGCAAAGGAAGCAGACATTTTGTTGGATTCAGTGGATATTTTTTATGAATCAAATTCTGAAAATGCAACCAAAAACACAAACGTGTTGCAAGTGGCAGCAATTTGCAATTTTTGAGAGTTTTGAACAGAGCTAGGACTTGCAAGCTAAGTGCTGTTTGTGTCAGGATTTGGTTGTGTCCTGTTTGGATGTGTAGTCAATACTTCTGTTTCGTAATTTTGTTTATTTGTTGTTGTTTTGGGCTGTGTTGCCTGTATATGGCTGTGTTCTTGTATTTGGTTGCGTTGTTATTCTTGGTTACGTTTGTGTTTGCTTCTGCTTCTGCTCAGTATTCATTTGTTTTCTATTAGTTGGATTTGTTTTAAGTATGTGTTTTCTATTTGGTAGTGTTGCTGCATTTAGTTTTGTTGTTGGCTGTGTTGTCTATATATTTGGCAGTTATTTTTGTTTGTGTTGTCTATATCAGTATGTTACCAGTGTTTTGATGTGCTTATTAGTGCGCTCTGTTCCACGCCTTAACCCCCTCCAGGGAAGGTGGGGGTCCCCACTCTCTGGCACCCTAATTTTGCTGAGCCACGAGCTGAAAAGTTTTGGAACAACTGGTCTATTTTACAACTATGATGTAGACTGATGTGCAGGGGCATTGAGTACCTTTAAAATGAAATGTATTAATATCATTTTTACATGTTTATGTTGACACGTTTGGCCGGGCTGTTCATGTGGTTGTGTTGTGAGCATTTCGCTGTGTTTTCATATTTAAATGCTTCATCTGTATCTTCTTGTTTATGTATGATGATGTTTTGTCCATTAGGTTGGATTGACTTTTGTTTTTTGTTTCCTGTATTTTCAGGTTATATTTCAAATCCTGGTATTGTGTTGTCAAATCAACAAATATATAGGCACGTCATTCCTTTTTGAATAACAGCGTTAAGCTCTCAGAGGTACTGTCTAAAGCAGGGGGGGGGGGGGGGGGGGGGTTCACTGTTCAGGTTTGACCCTTCAGCAAGCTGATTAAATAATGAAATATGTTAGCCAATCCTGCTGTCATTTATCAGGTCAGCTCATGAAGAAGCGTGGGTGACAGTGTTACTAATTAATGTCAGGGTCACTGTCTGATTGGTGTCAAAGTAGAACAGACTGGTGACTGGACAGAACATACCTCAACCCTATGAGGGGATTAAAAATAGCAGTGACAGAGGCACAGATGTACATGCTTCGTCAGTGAGTCTGTCCCCAGTCTCCCAGTATGAGCCCAAACCAGAGTGAGTTATGCAAAAGGTATTTATAGAGTCGTGGAAGGTCACTTAAGGACCCTTGACTTTTAATACTCTCAGTTCATGTTGCTTAAACCATTGCTTTTTTTTTTATTTATTTTTTAAATGAATAAACACTTCTTTCCAGCGCTGGCTCTCTAAATTCTAGCATTAATAAATGAGCTTCTGTTCTTTATTTTCATGAAATGCAGACATACACACAGGAGTGCAGTTGAGAAGGCAAAAAGGAAATTAGTCTTTTTTTGTGCCAAATTTTAAGAAAGCCACAGAAGACCTTTAGACTTCAAGACTTCTAGTTGTAGCACTGACTTATAGCTGCAACGACAAATCCAAGCATAAAGCCACGGAGCAAAGAATGAATTCATTTTCAAATAAACGAGGACACAATTTGACAGTTCATCTGACTTTATTGAGAGATGTGAGGGTCAAAGGGCAGCTAGCCATGCAAAGAACTAGCCTGGCCGTGTGAGAGATAATTCACCTGGGTAAAACTGATCCTGAGCCAGCCTGGGTTCTAGTCAGAGAAGATGTTTGAGATGTGCAGACTGATCCTAGATGGACAATGAAAACTATTTTTCAAATCTTAGCAGAAGCACAGGTTTTTTCCTGAATTGTGTGTGTCTGTGTGTGTGTGTGTGTGTTTGTATGGCTATACGCTGGAAAACAAGCTGAGTACAAAATAATGTGAAGTGACTAGAACTGTTGTGCATAGTACTTGGAAAGATTTGTGCTGACAGGGCTAAGTGTTAATTGAGCGTAGGGATGCATACATCATTAAGTGGGATAATAAATAATAATCTCTTGCTGTGAAGTTAATGCCCTTAGTTGGCTACTGGAAAGCTGCAAACCTCGAGGACAGAATGCAATTCAGAGCCAGTATATATACAGTTTCTTTATAAGGCTATTTACAAAGTCTGTCATGTTTCTTATTTACATTTATTGCCGCAACAAATGCAGTTTGTCATTGCCTTACAGTTTATAATGACGGAGCAATAAATCAAGTGGTGTGCGCTAAATTTTCCTTTTATCACTTTCAACAACAGCAACATAAACAGTGTCTCAGAGTGACTTAAAGGAAAATCATGTGTGTGCTGGGAGAAACAATCATTTTTCAAAACTTCAGCACATTTTTTTTTTTTTTGCTGGCTGAATTTAGGAACATGAGACTGAACGTTTGACAACCTCCACCTACGTTTATGATAAAAACACTGAGTTTTTTTTTACCCATCAACCTTAAATACAGCAAAACTTTGCTCTGCTCTTCCATGCGAGAAAGGTAAGAACATCAGCAAAGTCCACACGTCCTCTAGATCACAACCAGATATGACAGCAAATATCACAGGACATAACATACGTGTCATAAACAACGTAGAGAAGATAATGACAGGAAGTAGAACCTTGTGGCTAACTTGAGAGTAACGTGGAACAAAGCGGCGCTATAAATATTAAATCGATGTGTGTGAGTGCGCGTAAAGGGAGTGTGATTGAAGGGCGTACTGAGAAAGAAGCTCCCTCAGGTGCACGCAAAGCATTTGTCACATCGGAGCTGTGAAAAGCACAAATGTACTGTAATACCCAGAGAGAGAGAGAGAGAGTGTGTGTGGTGGTGCATAATGACTTTCATTTGACCAATATGTGGAGGAGAAGACTCTGTTTTAAACCTTTTTTTAGAAAAAACGCAATGTTATACCTGAATCCTTTTCTAGCCAGATCAGGAGGGAGACGTATGCACATCATGGATCTAAAAGTGCTCATCGGAGTTGGATCTTTGTAGTTTACACTCTTAGTTGAGCCAAATCAGGTAATTGCAGAGGCCACTAGAACAAACAGCTAGAATCATTCACAATCTCTTTTGTCTTGTTTTTGCTACACAAACAGTAAAATGAAGACAGTTTGCACATTAAGTCCCTTTACAGGCCATGACATCATAGTAAAGTAGTCCCCATTTTTTCGCATACAAATGGCCAATGGAAATGGCTAGTGAGGTAGCCAGACTTCCTGTGTACTATCATCTTCAACATGATGCTACATAGCTGTTGTTATTGTGTATAAAACCCACACAAAGTCAAGTTGTGCTACGAGAAAAGTAGCTCTGAAGAACTTTGAAGAAGCCCCTCCTGTCCTTCCTTTAACCTTTAAACTCTTCCACAGAGAAAAAGCAAAGTTGTGGGTCGTCATCCACTCAAGCTGCTTATTCACTGCCACGTTTCGGAGGGGTGGAGGTGTTTTTGGTTGGTGGTCAGTGAGGGTGCTGGGCAAACACTCCTCTGAGTATTCCTCCATCATTGTGAACTTCTTTCCGAAGCTGGGGGTCAAGGTGAAGAGGGCCGACATCATATTTCTAGCAGACACTTCACAGGGACCAAGCCTCTCTTTTTCCCACTGCTCAGCCGGAGGAAACCGTCAATCTCCTCGTTTTTACCAACACAGATCTGCAGTGGGAGAGATGGGGGGTGGGGAGGGGGGGTGAGGAAGGGGGGAGTATTGAACAAGAGGAGGAGCACATGACATTCAGTAATGTTAGGGAGTTTATGGACTAAGGGGGAAAAAAAAATGAGCAGCAACAGAGGCCATAACATGCTGTCCTCTGTAATCTCAGCACTCTTCTGCATGAATTTACATATGTTTATTCAGTGTGTGTGTGTAAGAAAAAAAGTGTGTGTAATTTATGTGCGTTTCCACCTGGGCCTCTTTCACAGTCATCTGGCCTTTGTCTCGGTTGCCGTGGAAACCATCCGTGACCTTCCACGCCCGCTCACCAGGACGGACCCGCTGCACAAAGTTGGCCGGGAACAATCCCACCTTGTCTCTGCTTTTCCCCTGGTAAACACACACACACACACACACACACACACACACACACACACACACACACACAGTCTGTTAGTCTTTGAAAGATATAAATAGATATTTGATGTCCTGTTCTGAGCGGTTTGAATTGCTTGTAGTAGAAAAATCCATGATGCTGACTCCTCTTGTATTCAGTAATATTTCTCCTCTATGCCGCCACAATTTGCTGCCTTATTGCCAAAAAACAAAACTGCCGCATTTCAATCATCCTCCTGCTGACAATTCAACACAAACAGCAAATCCAACACAGTCAGCCTCCAATACAGTCCTTGACAGTCCTTGGCTGAGCATATCCAATTAGATCCCTTTGTGTCTTCACTATAGTTTGCTTGACCAGCTGCCTAAATATGCATACAATTTATATGGGATTTAAATAAGTTGTGACAATAAGCAGAAAAATGGGCATAAGACGTTTTTTATTTTCTAATAAGAAACTCTAGTAAAAAAAAAAAGCATCTGTAATTCAAGGCGCTCTCGTGCCCACTACTTCTTCCAGATGCTCTGGCAAACAGGCACACGTGGACCCATGGGTGGCCACAAAGTCATTTTGTTGATGTCTGGATGTTGACATTTAGAAAAGGCATTTTAACACAACAGTGGTAGGAAAGAGGAGTTTAATTGTCATTTCTGCAACACAATGTGGTTTGCATGGACATTACTCTCAGGACAATGATAGAGCTGTATGAAATTTAGCTTTACGATTGAAGAACAATCAAATCATACTTTTTACAAAATGACAAACTTGTTGCCTCATGACGAACATTCCAGTAAATACTTGACAGCCTCTTTTAAGGCTACGTATGTTGTAAATGAGCCCATCATGGCTCTTTGACTTTAATACAGAGCATCTAAGCAATACAAACTTGATTACTCTGCTGCTATTTCATGAAAGTGGATATCTAATACTTGTCCTCTGCGTTTCATTATGCAAACGCTTATCTGTCCTTCAGCAGGTAAAGGTTAAGATCTACAGCTGCCTCATTAAACACGATCTGCAATCTGTCTTCTTCCTCTTTTTCCAGTTCATGCTAGCAAAGCATCTGCCTCCTTCAAGCACAGCCACCAGCTCTGCAGTCCTACGGTCTCTTCTTTGTGCGTGTGTTATTGTATTATATTTTAAAAGGCAAGTCAGATATATTCTAATGAAGATTTGTAATCTCCCTAAGCACTGGCTTAGTAGAAAGATAGAGAGAAATGGGATCATTTTCATAATGTTCAATGGTCCCATCAGTGCAGTGCTGTTGAATAGATTTTTGTTTTATAAAGCTCACCTTCCACCAATCCTCGTTGGAGTCATCTGTAACTTGAACTCTGTCACCAGGCCTGGAGGGGAAACAAAATGCTTTATTGAATGGTGTATTGCTATGTAATGATTTTACCTGAGGTTACAAGGTTAAAAGGTTTTTGTGGCTAATTCACCCATTAATGCACATCCTGATGGCAGCTGGCAGGGTGCTGGTCAATTGGAAGAATAATCAGCTAATAACTCATGTATAAATAAATAAATCATGTAAAAATATAAGAAAGTTGTGATATATTCTCAAATTGCATGTATACAAAATGTATATATCCCCAAATGATGCCTTTACCAGAAACACTCTCCTGTAATGTTACAAAGAGTAAGTGAAATGTACCGACTAAGGCCAGAGTATACTGCTTTAGCATTTTCACAGATTGATATCAAGATATTTTTAAAGTAACAAAACAACAAAACACAATAAAAAGCACTCTGACCAAATACAGAGCGAGTGTGTGGTATGACATACATGATGAGTCCATCGGATTGAAGGCTACAGCTGCTCAGAGTTTTAGAAATCAGCAGAGAACGTACATAAGATAGCTGTTCATGTAGTATTGCCATATAAAGAAAAATGTAGCAATGCTCCCTCCTTTGGTTCATACACAATGTGTACTGATGTGTACCAAATCCAAACCAGAGAAAATCTTGTAATGCAGCATGGTTATGTCATTTTCAGTGACCATGAGGTAGCATGCCTATAAATATTATCAGCATAGTCAATCACTGAAAGAAATGTTGTTTGGACAAGTTTCTTTCTATCGATCAAAGAAGATAAAGCGCTCGTTCCTGTAGAACAAACTCAGTTTCACGCTCAGTTTTTCTCTTAGACACTCAATGTGGTGACGCAAAAAATCGGCTTTACTTGTTGTGTGCACAAAACTATAAATGTCCACATTTAAAAAAATATATATTGCACTACTAATATTGTCCAAATGTTATAGGGCTTTCACAATTGCAGAAAACTCCTGAAAAGTCCTGATATTTGCCAGGAGGAGCTGTATGTGTTAACGCAAACAGCAGAATGTTTTTTCCCCACGTCAGGAGAATATCTGGAGCAGTCCTCCTAAAGTGATCTAGATATTTTCCGGAGTGCATTATGTGAAAATGGCTTTAATGTCATCTTACACATATACGAATCCTTCAGGTTAGTGGTTGGTGTCATACCACACTCAGCAGTTTCCTGGTTCTACTAACATACAATGAAATCATTATTTTCTAAATGTCACATATTCAATGTAGCTGTCTGTCCTTCCTGGCCTCCCAGCATGTCCTCCTCCCCATAAAAAAAAAAATCCTGAAACCCCCTACCATCATCCTGCTGAGTAGGCAGATGGTGTGCAAACGTTTGTAATATTATGGCCAGGTACACTCTTCCTCTTCTGTCATCCAATCTCTCATTTACACCTTTGTACAATATGAAAAGACAATTGACTAACTGTAGCTCCAAATCGTTCTTCTCCTGAGGCAGAAACTTGTAGAGAGCCACGTAGGTGTGGATGGAGTGAACCTCGACTCTCTTTGGAGTCTGAGAAAGACAAAGTAGAAAAAGAGAGAGAAAAAAAATAAAGTGTTAAAGTCTCAGCGTTGCTCATTTGAATGTCTGAAACTGAGAGGAGAGCATATGACTCTTGAAGGGGCTGACAGAGTGCATTTTCACCCCGAAAAAGGAAAGAAGAGAGGAATGCTGACTACACACCTTCAGGCTGACCCTGTCTTCTGAATCAGCCTTCTCGCTTTCAGGAGGGGTGAGCACTGGAGAGACAGACGCAGAAACAAAAAGCGACAAAGAGAGGGCGAGGGAGAGGAGAAATAAGAGAAAAGAGAATATGATGACAGAGAGTTGGGTCATGTGTAAAGCAGAGAAAAAGTTTGGGGTGAAAAAGGATAGAAAAAGGGAGGGATACAGAGAGAGAGGTCTTGTCACTTTGCAGCAAACAGAAGGAAGGCTGAAGACAAGGTCATTGACTGCAAAGTGGCAGCGGTACAAACAGAGATAATCCCGTCTCCAGGGACCAAAGACAGAGAGGTTAAAGTACTGCAAAGAGAACATGCACAGAGCACTCCTATAGAGTACTATGTCTTATATTAACGTATGCTCTGAAATCCTGACAGTAAGATAGAATATGATCTTTGCCACGAGTAAGTTTCATTGTTGAAAGAATCTCAACATTTACATTTCATATACCTTTAGAAATCAAATGTACCCCTCTTCTGGATCTCCCACAAATAAACAACATTTTTGCAGAATTTAAAATATTAGAATTCACATTTCAAGAGTATTCAAGTGTGATAAGTGAATTACTTAATACGATGATATTTAAATGAATACTTTAACATTTTAAACTGTCATGTCTATAAGATAAATATGAAGCTAGAGTTAAGTGAAAAAAATCCACGTACCAACACCACTAAAGTGCATATCTGGGTTAGTTTTAATCATGATTTTTAGAATTACTACAAAAACAGTTTAACAAATGACAGAGAGACATTTATGGAATTAATTGTTGAGGTTCGGTGACTGCTTATGCTATCATTATTTTGCTTGAACAACCAACTTTCAGGTGTAACCACAAATTAAAAATAGATTTAACTTACTTCCCGGTATTTGTTCCTCTTCAGCTATTGGCTGGTTTTCTACTTTATCTGGATTTTCCTCTGCCTGTAATAAAAGAAAGAGACGTGGGGTAGCAAAGTCAACAATATTCTTTGTATGATTTATGTCAACATTAAAGGTATAGGGGTTGACAGGGGTGGTCTGTGTAATTCATGTGTAGTTTTATACCTCATGACACGGTGACTCTGAGATACTGCTGAAGCTGGAGCGACTCATCTGAGCAAGTGACGTCCCATAGCGCAGTGCCTCATACACAGGGTCAAGAATGCTATTATCTGCCTCTGCACACCGCCAGACAAGAAGGAACAAAGCAACACGTGCAGTTTTATACCTGACACTTCCACACACACACACACACACACACACATAAACACACAATAACCTGTCAGGCATCAAGGACTGAAGGCCACAGACATGGTCATCAGTCATCTTGAGATTACAGTTGTTTAGTGCTGCTACAAATCAGGCGAGGTTTCCATCACTCACCCTGTGCAGCCGGAGCCTCTCTGACCACACCCAGCTGATCAGTTGTGAGCAGAGGTGAGCTGAAGTTTCTCTTGAACGCTCCCGTCTGAGGCCAACAGAGACATGAGGAGACAGGCGAGGAAGGACAGTAGAAGGAGAAATGTCACTTGAAGCTGAGATGTGTTTATGTGATATACTGTAAGCTGTAAGACAATACTTTGGTGTGCTTTCACAAGTGGAAGATTGACCTGCAGAACATGCAATGAAACCTGAGTATCTCAACATGTGCGAGGAAATATCAGTCTTTGTGCTCTGTGAGCCTGATAACTCCTTCAACTAACTTTGACACTGACACTTTTCAGACACACTTTCTGGTAAAAAATCTAAACATCTTATTTAAAGGTATAAAAAAACAGAGCACTATAAACATAATCTTACCCTGTATATTAATTCTTAAAACATGACACAACAGAGGACTGTAGGGTTGAGCTAGTACAACAGCTCTCTTGTTTAACATGTCTTAAATACTTTAACTGCCAACATTAACTAGCTGTTGAGCTTTAGTACATGTCCCTCTACTACCAGCTTTCTAATAAGGTCCCCCAAAGATATTTGTACACAGATTTACTTGTAAATAAAACGTTTCAGTCCAACCAACCTTCATCTGGTGTAATGTACCTGATGAAGGTTGGTTAGATCAAAATGTTGTATGCTCAAATAAACATGTCAGCTTAAAGCAACACAGTGTGCGGGAGCCTTTCTCATTTGTCTGTAAGTTTTAACCTCCTCCATTGCACCTGTCACACATTAGGGTGTGCAGATATTTTTTTCAACATTCGTCTTCACAGATTTACTTTTTGCATGTACAAAAGTCAACACTGACCAGTAGTGGAAAAAAACAGTGTGAATACAGGACTTGTTTGATAGCACGATATCAACATTTCACCACTAGTCCCAAGTCAGGTACCTACAAAAAAATATATATATGTGGACACATTGGTTTTTCCATTGAAGCACTTCAGTTAATGGGCTACAGGAGGCAGAATTCATGTTTTAATGTATTACCATGTGTGGTTCCGTACTCATATCTAATGATTAAAAGATCAGTTTGACATAATAACATAGAAACTGTGTTTTAGATTAAAGACCAAAAGACACCATTTGACTCTCTCTTCTTACTGGACCCTTATAGCTAGATTCAGTAATGTGATTTCTTGCTACATTGCAACTCTATTATTGCCCACTGATGGTGCCAATACTACACTCGCCTCTCTATACCAAATGGATCATGACTGAACCTCTTTCTGTCTTTGAGCTAATTTATCCATGTGGTGTCTGTCAAACTGTACATGGTTAGACAGTGCAGATGTTCTACTGTACAACTCTGATATCTGACTGTTTCTTTATTTAGCGCATGAAACATGTTGAGCTACAGTATTTCACTCATCAACTGAAGAGGTACACATACAAAGGGCTGTTTTGAGCAGAGGCTCTGATGTGCTTGTCTTCAAATAGAAACTGTTTTTAAATATAGCATTTTTCAATCCCTGCATCCCTTTTAACCTGAATCAAAGACATTTTTTGTCATTCAGTGGGACTTTCAGTGGCTGAACTTCCTTTATATCAACATATTCTGTTGAAAAATGTTTCTCTGAGATACAATGTCTTATCATGTTTCAAGTTAGAGGTTATGATTAAAACTCTACCACAAGATAACATTTGAGGTTTTGAATACATCTGGAATGCGTGTGTCTTTAAGTAAGATGACTTATTATCATAAAAAGAAATCAAAAAGGACTGCCCTGACGTGTCAACAGATCCTGTGGGTGTCGACCTTCTTAAAAGTACAAAAGTCCTCTGAAAGTGAGACATGGCTTTAAGCTTCTGAGGGATTGAGATGACTGCTGCAATACTGACAATGACAAATTCTCCCACATTGGGTCCTCTTTTTTAAAGATTTATATTTGGCTTTTGATGCCTTCATTTTAGAGGACAGGCCAGTGGATAGAGTAGTAAATCAGGTGAAGAGAATGGAGACTGACATGAGGAAAAGAAACGGAGGGTGGAAGTCGAACCTGGGCCGTCCGCTTAGAGGATGACAGCCTCTGTACCACTCGAGATCAACACAAGGCCAACCACCTCACAGCAAGAAACTATCCCTGTCAGATCCAACAGTCTGTAAGATCTTGAGATAAGCTTTGGATGGACATCCAAAGAGATGTAGAGATTCCCTTTCCTGTAAATTTGCGAATATTTATCGTTGAAGAATTTTCTATCAAAAATTTACATTTTGCTGTAGTTTATAGAAACATATAAGTTAAGCTCCACCCATGTTTGTGATGCTTTTTTTTTTTTTTTAATCTCACTATGTACTTTCAAGGAAACACAGAAATACAAAAAGAGCTCTCAGTAAACAAACTTGACAAATGCTATGTTACTGTAAGTTTATGCTTTTTAATGAGTGGCAATTTGCATCATCTCCTCTGACAGTTGACAAATTGAAACAGAGCAACATACTAAGAAATTGATGATGATAAATAATGTCCTCAATGTTTGAAATCTTCCTTTAAAAGCCAATCGACAGAAACAACCTCTATCACACATAAGTGAATCTGCAATGGTGACTGTGAAGCATGACTGGACAGTCTTGGATTTATAGAATTTTTAAAGAGCAAGCAAGCAGAAATTTTACACTTTGCTCAGAGGACACTATATTTCAGATTAGGATGTGTGTGTGTGTGTGTGAGAGAGAGAGAGAGAGAGAGAGAGAGAGAGAGAGAGAGAGAGAGAGAGAGAGAGAGAGAGAGAGAGAGAGAGTGTGTGTGTGTGTGTGTGAGAGAGAGAGAGAGAGTATGTGTGTGCGTCTCTTAGTATAAATCTATCCTGCAGAAGCAATTACTTTCTGCAGTGCCCAGCAGGCCTTTTTATTTAATCAAACTGCAATACATCTTTAAGTTCAATTAACATCGATAAGCAAATGGTTGTCATTGTTGTAATTTAAACTTTGGACAAATCTGGGAGCACTGAAGAAATGAGCGAGAGCCAGATAGATGCCAGCTATTGACAATCCTCACTCTGATTTAACTTCTTTACATGAACTTGTCAAGCTGTGTCTGATTCAATTTTTGTAATTGACTGTTAAGTCAGTGGTCGTGTGTTAGTAACTTAACTATTTTATAGGTTGATCACAGATTTTTGCCAAAACTTAAAATTATGAATCACTATTTTTTTCTCAATTAAAAAAATCTGTGAGTCTAATTGGACTAATTCCACCTGTTACGTCTAAATATCAACGTGTTGCGAGAGCTATCTTCAGATAAGTGTGAGAATCTTGACAATAGGGAAAAGCAGCTCTTGAATAGAAAATAGTATTTTGCCAAAGAGGTTATGTTTTCTTCACCTTGTAGTGGCAATTATGGAAAATACTGGCACAATTTCCAAGTATAACGTATTCAATTCAATTCAATTCAATTTATTTTGTATAGCGTCAACTCATAACAAGTGTTATCTCAAGACACTTTACAGAAAGCAGGTAAAATACCTTACTCTTTGTCTGTTAACATTACAAAAGAGCAGGTAAAAAGACCTTACTCATTGTTATGTTACAAAGACCCGGCCTAGGGGTCAAGAGAGGGCAAGGAGAGGGCCCATTATTATTTGGACAACAGCTGACAAACAAAGAGTAATATTGGACTACTGGCCTTGGCTAGGATTTCTACACCTCTGGGTTCTATGTCCCTTTGAAATGTAAAGGAGAAGTCGTTCAGAGGAAAGAGAGTGAAAGCTCTTGTGTTAAGACTCACCAATAAATGTACATATCAAATAAACAATTTTATTCTATTCATTTCCTGCTTTGCACTGAAGCAGTCCAGTTTATTTAAGATGATGTACTTGCATCATTCTTGAATCTTGTGCTTGAACACACTCACAGAGGGTTTGGATGAAAGTGTCAGCTGAATAAATGTGATATAGATATAAAATAAGGTAAGCTAGAAATAAAATAATGGGAAAGTACAAATACCTGAGATGGTTACAGTAAGGTACATTACTTGCGTGAACTTGGTTGCCCACCATCTTTGTGAATGTGTCAGCTCCCTGCAGCACTTGAATTGATATTCATTATTAGTTACACTTGGGTGGCCGGCTCCTCCTGCTGCTGCTAAAAGACACTTTGCTCTCCTCTCCCTGCAGAGACAGAACAACTACTCGGTCTGGCCTCAAGACATTACAAGAGTGAGACTGCCATTTTTAACTCTAAAAACTTCAGTTTACCTCCCAATCGATTGATACATCAGACTAATTATTTATCACAAAAGCACATTGCTGGCTAAAATCTGCTCTATATTCCTGTCTTTCCAACATATACGTTCATTCAAATGTTAATGGGGAATGACCAAACCTGAAAGTAAAAAATAATGAAACCAACGCAAAAACAGGAAAACGTCACAGGTGATCTATTAGCAAGCAAAAGCTTTGGACCCATGTCGGCTTATGTAGATGTATACGAAGTGGCCTTAAACTCCATCCTGATACAGTAAAATGCTCGATCCTTGCTCTGATGAGTGTGCAGTGATCGAAAAGGACACTGCTGCAGGCTGTGTCGAGAGCCTGCCATGTCATATCCTCGAGGGATTGTGTGCGCCTCAAAAACACTGAATTTCACAGTGAATTAGCCAGACCAGCTGGTACAGGGAGATATTGATTTTTCAACAGAGTCGAGAGGGGAGGAAGTGTATGTAGCATCCAGACAAGAGGGAGGAAGAGGAAGAGAAGGAGGAAGAGAAGGAGGAAGAGAAGGAGGAAGAGAGGACGTCAGCAGCACATGCAGCGAAGAAGGACAAAAAGGCCAAGTGGAAAAATGTTGGGACCTGGCCACTTTAACATCTCCCGTGCCTTCCTCACCAGTCCTTTTCCCTCTCGTGGCATTTAGAAATAGGAGGTAATTGTATCGTGCTGCTTCCCTTTCACACGGTTCCAACTGTCTTAGTCGACTTTGCAAAGCCCCGGTCAATCCCCATTCCATTTATAACCTCCACCTTTTTGTCTCTGCTGGTTTGAAAATGGCTTTATCCTCTTTAAACAAGGCGGGGGCTCTGAGGCTAAGCATATTACCAGGACTACAGGCTATGCCAACTGACTGAGGGAGACAATTATAGCATCCAGATGCTGTTGAATTCTGCTGACACAATGCATTCTTGGTTAGTTTCTGGCCTGTGGAGAGCTCCTGCATTTCCAGTCACAAACAAATATGGAAACATGTCATTAGCTATGTAAGAAAGATTGTTGCGAGTGGTTATCCGTGTTACTCACAGAGAACTAGAGCAAATGAACAAAGAAACACAAGAGCACTGATTTTAAATTTCAAATGTCAAGGGCAGGTGTCAAGAGAGTCAGAAAATAACATTTTGTGGTTTTTATAAACAACTTAAGAACTCAAAATTCTTAAGAAACGGTTAAATAAATATCTGTGAATTAAATGTTGTATGAATGAATTATTATAACATATTAGTAAAAAGTGAGTAACCCAAAAGTATTCAAAAATCACAATTTTAACATATTTTATATGATACAGTATATTCCTGCTGCTTCCTCACTGTCCAGGTGTTAATTTCAGATACTTTTGGGAGTTTCACTCGGTGTGAACATAAGATGACCTCTTATACAGTATGTACAGAAGGTGTTATATCTGCCAGAAAAGGATGAGACACTTGTGTGTTGAGAGAGAAATGTGTGTTGTAATACATATGTTTTGACTTTATGGTGTCACTGTTGGTTTCATGAAAAAATTCAAAGTTCCTCGAGGTAGGACCTAGTTATGAAAACATCTTACCTTGCCATTACAGGGCTGCTGGGAGAGCTCAGACGAGCACCAGAGGTGGGCAGCCATCTTACACGCTTTACAACGCAGCCCCTGCTTGGAGTTCCCTGCAGAGACAAACAAATCACTGCAACACAAAGCTATAGACGAAGGCAAAAGGCAGTTGTGACCACATCTGATTTCAGAAACAGGTTCAGACCACGGAAAATGGCAATTATCAGTTGTGTTAAAGGTAGCGTAACAGAAATGAGGGAATAAATAAGGGAGACAACATTCTAATTTTTTCAATACTGGTATTCAAAAGCCTTCTTTGGGTTGTAATGTCTGTAATAAAAGGTGCCGTTCAGATCACATTTAATGCACATGTTTAATAATGCAAAGTCTTATCTACAGATGTGAGCAACAGCAATGAAAGCAGAGAATATGCCCTGGCCTTGGATTGGACTGATCAATGTGTTCTTAAGACTGGTCAGAAGGCCACATTACAGTCCAGCAATCAAACATTCAGAGAACACAAGTGGGTCCCCTGTACTCAATCATCACAATCCTGAATTGATCCTGATTTACAGGCAGAAAGAGGACTGACACAGGCTGACGTCATCCACAGTTTTACACCGAGGTTCTTTCTACAGCAGATTCTGAATGAGCTGCAGTTTCTTTGGTATTAGAGAAGCATGTAAAATACTGTTGGAAATAAATTCTAGACCAGAGATCCAAAAAAAAACTGATTTATTAATATGTCTCAAGTTTTAGTTAGAATATGTTTTAGCTTTAATGTTTGGAAACAGATTGTGGAAAGCTGGTTGTAAACTCTGGCTTAATACTTAAAAAGAGTGCTGACTTGTACAGCTAAGAATTGTCAACAAGGTAAATCTATATAACCCCCAGAGGAGGCATGGAAACAAGATTGGACCACCAAGCTTGCTGTCAATAGTTTGAATGAAGACAATTTGCTTCTAAAGAAATAGACCCATTGCAAAATGTCACACAAGAAGATTTGTGGATAATCCTGAGTAATGATCTTAAACCCTGTGAGAACCACAAACCACAGTCTTACCGCAAGTACTTAGAGAGAGAATGTGTGATTTGTGTGAACTAACCCTTTGAAGAATATGTTACGCCTGGGCCATTTTAAACTGATTTCTTTCCACATCGGTGAGGAGCAACTTGTCAAATAATAGACTGTATTACTCAGAATTTTCCAACACCGATTAAACTGCTTATTCTTGTAATTTTGGGGAAATTCACCCCTCAGAAAACACTTATTGCCTCTGATCCTGGTTAATGTTACACAATTCAGTGTGACAGGGCTGCAGCTCTCCCATGAAAGCTATGTTGTTGTTGACCTACCTTGGATCATATGTTTACACCTCTGGCAGCTGGTGGGTCTACGGAAGACATGCTCCTGGAAACAGTGGGTCTTGACCGGCTGGGCCTGAGACTTTGGCTGGCCTTTTGAGGTCACTGACAACGAGGGACTGATGGACGGTGAGTGTGAGGACAATGAGGCGTTGGGACTGACGGACGGCGACTGAGGGGGAGAACGCTCATAGGCCAGGGGGGATTCGGTAAAGGGGGGAGGAGATGGTGGAGGTGGAGGAACGGTGATGAGGGCTGTGGGAGGCCGAGAATCCCCGTTGCTGCGCTGGAAAAAGTTGTCCATGCTTTTGCTGCGCATGACAGATTTGAAGGACAGAGAGCGCTTCAACCGCTGCAACTGCAAGACACAAAACAAAAACAAACAAAAGACACATCAAATTACAAACCGTCTAAAATAAAGTGTGTTTCTGTTCATTAGATGATCACAAAACGCAGAGGAAAGTAAGAGTAGAACACACGTATACTGAATTGTGAGAAGTTTAAGGTCGCATTTTGAATTTTGACAACTCTGTGACGAATACGTTTTCATATAGACACAACAAATTCTGAAAGAAAGAAATATTTTTGTTATTACACCAGTCTTGTTTTAAATGTGTTTTTGTCTGTCCTCTCACTAAATACAAGTGTGCAGGGCTTACATAGAAAACGTGATGTCATGTACACAAATCAAGACTCGACAACATTTAAATCACATTAAGAAAAATGTCTGACGGGATTTTTTTTCCTCTTGTTTCCAGGCTAATTGCAATTAGCCATGTAGCGGTTCACCTGTTACACAATTAACCCGCGGATTAAACCGTCACGGATAATTACTTGCAAAGGCTCAGCTACACCAAGTCGGCAGTGTGGGTGCATATTGGGTACAACAAGAATGACCAGCCGGGACTTATTCAAGACGAATGAGAACCCCCTGTCTGCAAATCCGACTGAGAAAAAAGCTGTGGCTTATGTGCAAACACATCCTGAAGCATCTGCAGGTCACCACACAGCACTTTACCCTAAAGTAAAGGTAGTACATAACATCATTAGTGGTAAGTTACTTGACAATATATTGAGTCAAACTGTTTTTAAATATGAATGTGTCACTTACAATCAGGGGGGTATCTCTGTGAAAGTTGGGCTTTCAGTGTAAAGCAATCATTTCACTGAAAGCCCAACTTTCTGTGTGGAATAAACGTTAAGCATGCAGGTTAATATAACAGGTGTAAAAAGCTGAAATAACATCAGGAGCTTGGACTTCCAGCACTATACAACGGGATCCATTAACTGCAATTCAGTTATTAATAATACTGCATGAGATGGTATATATTTAAAATTAATGCTCCAAAACTTTTAACACAAAACAATTATAGACAATTTTTCAGCTGACAAGGTAAGATTAAATTAATTATTAAAAATAGATTATGTATGAAAGTTAATAACAATTACACTTCAGTTTAAAACCAAGAATAGGAACATTTCCCCCTGGGGATCAATCAAGTCCAACTTTGTGTAATTTTTAGAATAACAAATAAGAAAAATAAGAAGAATACCGTGCGAAGAATGATTGCATCAGTCAGTATGTATTTATTTTTTTAGCTATATTATTTTATTACTGTGTCATTTATGTTTTAATAGGCACCAATAAATACCATCTGTTGGGATTTGAAACATAAGTAATGAAATTCATTAATGCATAATAATCATGTTAATCATGAAACTGTGATTATTTATCAGACTGTACGATCAAAATATCTAATTTCCATCTCCATAATTGCATTCAAATTTGACTAAACCACATCAACAGAGTTCTGATGGCACAAATAAGCAACGTTATATGTTGAACAATTCATAAAGCAAAAAAAAAAAAGGTTGTTGCTGTCTACTTCTGAGAATCTAATGTCAGAAAAATCCCACAGGGATTATTGATTACTTCCTGAGAACCTGACGGATCAATCCTTTCCATTCATTGTCACAATAATTACAGCAGTAGTTTCAATTTAAAGTATGAACAATGGTAATTGCCATTAAATTTGTCATGAAAAAAAAAGAACGATTCCAGCCGGAGGTGAAACGATAGTTGAAATGAATCAGTCTGTCAAACAGCAGTCTGTTAGCTTTACCCTCTGACTGCCCTTGCCCTGTCTACATGGTGTGTGATGTTCCATCTTCAGCTTTTTCCTGAGTTCACAAAATCGCCATCCCTCATTAATCCCTGCTCGTCAATACCCCTTAAAATTCACGTTTCATTAGCTTTATCGAGCGGCTTGCATCTTCACGATACACGCAGTCGGTGATGCACTGCAAACAATGTGTTTATCTTTGGCTCTGTCGGATGCCTCCATCTCCTGCATGCTTACAAATCTGGTGTTCTTGGCTACGACAAAGGGGGAACTGATAATGACAATCAATTACAGGAGTTAGGAGTGATAGGATCTACTATACGGAAATAATAACAGCTATGGACTCGTACATCAAGAGAATGGCCTGGAGAAAGAGGGCAAGAAGGATAATAGGTTCCCATTACTGAGGACTACCACTTCCATTTACAAAGAGCATATTAGCTGTCATTGTTAACGACAGGGTTGAGCTTCAAAGTTCATGTTTTTATTTCATTCCTAAACCCACAAACTATGATGCATGTTTTATGTATACCTGTTTCTTTATGTTCCTATGTGATGTGGTACCGTCCTCATCATGTCTATTGCACCTCTGAGCTTTGAAATTCACTGCATCACCCATTCCTCTGCTTTGCAGAAGATTCGATCAATTCCATCGAGCAGGTTCCTCTTTTACTTCTTTAAGCTACAGATTCACAGATGCCAATTAGTTTGAGTGATGAAAAGAGTCCTCTCCACTGACTCATTAGTGAGTGCATCTCGTAAATGTTTTCTACAGGGAGCTGAGTCCATGCTTTCCTTAATAGCCTTTTCTTGGCTCGACCGGTGGCCCATTCAGTAATGGATGTTCCTCTCTATTAGATTTTTTAACTTGTCTGACTTTGTTAATCTTCTCGGTGGTGAAGACAAGTCTTTAAACAGGTTCAGAGGAAAAGGAACAATTTCTTTAAGTTACAAAGCAGCTAACACAAGACTGAAAAATCAATATCTGAAAATATCTCCCTGAGTTTTAAGAAAGATATAATGAAATAAAACAAGACTTATCTGAACATAAAAGCATAAAAGATAGTTAAATGCTTAGTGTGGTTTAAAGTTGCTAAGTTAAAGAAAAATCCACTTTCATGAGCTATAACTTTCGTTAAAACCCTTTACCACCAACGGACATGCATTAATGAAAGCAATAAATATTTGTTAAACAAATTAAATTGGATGGTTTCACATAATTCATTGGTGCATCTATTATTCAGCAGTTCCTTTACACGTTCCCATTTATCCGCTTCTTTAAAGTCCAGACAGAGTGTTTTACGACGTTCTCTAAAGCTAAAAAGATGCAATGTAGATTTGCAATTTGGCAACTGCTCCGGACACTTTTAAAGTCCATCTAAGGCAAAGGCTGAAGAACATTAAATGGCCAGAAGATAGGGACATAGCTATTCTAGGGGGAAGTTTGAAGGGTGAGGGATTTACAACCATCGATGAAACCATAGGGATCTGAAAGTGAAATATTTCATTTACTCTGGAACATGCATATTTTACATTTTCTTGTTTCAACACATTTCCAACCAAGGTGCTCTGGTTGAGTCAAATAGCTGGCATTTGTATAATATGGGCAAATCTAAGTGTTCAGGATATCTCCAATGAGAAATGATCCTTAGCAACATATAACACTTCTACTAAGGTGGCTCTTTCTGAATGGATTATGAAGCAGTATTAAACAAATTAGATGCACACATACAAATGGTAACTGTGTTGGCTACTAAATCATGAAGGGTGAAAATTCAAGCAGCCAATCACTTTGTTTCACATTCTGTTAGTCTGATGGGGTCTAGGTATTTCCAGAGGCATTTTGGACTCCACCAGTTGAAAAACACAAAATAAAATAAAATAAAAAATAACTTTGTAGCATTAGGTGTAAAACAATCAATAATCTAAAAAAAAAAAGTTCTTATATCTCGATTGTCCAAATACTTACACAGTGTCTGATTCTGACAGTTGCTCATTAAGGAGAAATTCGATCTATTAAACAACTTTGTGTCTTCTAATAGGCACACAACTGTGCTCTATAGTTTGCAAGTATTGAATAATAAGAATATTCTAGAAGTTATTGTAGGAAAACTCTGATTGGCTTAACAGATGTATACAAATGTAAGTGTCTAAGGTCAAGGTAAACTTTATTATCCCCAAGGGGCAATTTGCTTTACAGCCAATGGAGAGAAAGAAGATAATCAGTCTAAAGAACATGTAATGACTGTGAGAGGATTCTGTTCAATAAACAACGATTTAACCTGATCTCTTCAATACATACATACGCATAAAGACAGTTTTATTAAGAGTAGCATTAGATTCATCCAGTTTTTCCTTTTTATTCTATTGGCAAGGATAAAATGTTATTACATCTCAAATTTTGGAGCAGCAGCAGACATCACGTTGGACATGCATCACCATCCTGATTATCTTCTATCTCTCATTGTTCCATTTTTTTATATTTATGTGTTGGCTTGCATAATTTATGATACTATCGCAGCTGGTGTGAGACAGATAGTGTCTTGTGTCTTCTCATATTACTTAACATTCTCCCCTAAAAACAGAACAGAAATTAATAGCACAGTTCTGATGAATGCGAATCTCTGTGTCTCTCCATGGCACTCTTGTGTCTCTGTGTAACGTTTTGAAAAGTCTATTTATAGATTTCAGAACTGGGGACCCATCAAACTCTGAACTACTGGCAGCAATTAGCTCATCACAGTGCCAGCAGTGTAGTGTACTAGAACCGACTGTGGTTTGAGAAAGAAGATGAAGTGAAGAATGAAAGTAAAGTATGCCTGCAGTGACAAATAAAGGGAAAAGGAGCAGGTAAAAACAGAAGGAAGAATGGGTAAAAATAGCACATGTAGAGAAGAGATGGACAGAAAACACCATACCAGGATGCATGAGGTCCCTTTTTTCTTTCACACCTCAGACAGACAAAGCAGTTTTCACAGTCTTGTTCTATAGCGATTTAAAAATGAGCACAGGGATGTTTGGTGGATGGTTCTAAAAATAGACTGTTGTGAGGTACGCTCGGATAAATTAATGATTAAGAAGAGGGGGGGAGGACTCACACAAGAGATGCCTTTAAAAAGGCACAAACCCATCCTGCTGCGATGTTCTTTTATGCTATATTTTTATTTTTTACAGCACAGAGGTAATAAAATGATGCTATTGGAAAGGGCCGAGGTAATTAAAGACCAAATCTCAG